CCTTCCTTCCCTTTTTCCTTCCTTCCTTCCTCCTGCCTTTCCTTCCTCCCTCCTGCCCTTCCTTCCTTTCTTCCATTCTCCCTCCCTCCTGTCCTCCTTTCTTCCTTCTCCCTCTCCTTTCCTTCCTTTCTCCCTCCCTCCTTTCCTTCCTTCCCTCCTTTCCTTCCCTCCTCCCTCCCTCCTGCCCTCCTTTCCTTCCTTCTCCTTCCTTCCCTCCTTTCCTTCCATCCTCCCTCCCTCCTGTCCTCCTTTCCTTCCATCCCCTTCCTTCCTTCTTTCCTTCTTCCCTCTTGCCCTTCCCTTCTTCCTTCCTTCCTTTGCTTCTTCCTTCTCCCTCCCTCCCTCTTTCCTTCCCTCCTTCCTTCCTTCTTTCCATCCTTCCCTAGTTAGCATATATTCATTATGTACACTCATATTTGTTTATTGTTATATCACCCTTCTCCTCCGGCTAGATTATGACCTCCATGAGGTGAGGACCTTTGTACCCAGCACAGGACTTTGCAGAGGGAGTGCTTAACAATGAACAAAAGAATAAATGAATGATCAACAACTCAGATTGTTGGGGAACCTATTCAGAAGCATTACATCATTGGGGGGATGAGGGAGCCTGGTTCTTGCTGAATCAGGAGAGGTGGGGGTCAGGGTTAGGGTGGGCCTCCTGATCTTTACGGGGAGGTGCCCAGGGCCTGGCTTCTGCTGTTGTTACCTGATCTTCTGAATATGACAATCCTTGCTGCTCAGTACACTGCCCAGCAACTCCATCACATTGTCTTGAAACTGGTTGTTATCTAGCCTGGTCAAGCAGAGCAGAGAGCAGGTTTTTAACAGCAGGAGAGACAAGAAGCGTTCTCTTCTCCCCTCTCCTGTCCCTCAATGACCAGGGTGATCTTAAGGAACTGGGAGCACATCTTAGATGGACAAGTTCTCTGGAGTGACTTAGAAAGAGTGGAAGGCAAGTTAAGGGAAGGGCCAGAGACATAGGAGATCAGAGAGCTGGTTTATAGTGGGTCAAGGCCAAAGTCCAGGTCTTAACCCTGGATTTCTGACTCCCGGGCTAGGCCCCTTTCCCACCTGCCCCATCCCAAAGAGCCTCAGTGATCTCTCTGCAGAGCCCACAAGAATGTCCAGCTCTCTCCACAGAGCTCATGGCAAGGGCAACTGACTGGCCATTCTTAGGGTGTGTTGCCCGGGTCCTCTGGTAACTGGCTACCCTAGAGAGCACTTATCTCTCTCAGACACCAGCCCTGGGATCACTTGGCAACTGCTCCCACTTACTCTATGTCTAGCCTCTTGCCAGAAGCTGTGAGTGGCATGACAAATACTGTGATCACTCACAGGAGCTCAATGGGCATAGACCACAGAATAGGTACTGCCACGCACTCCCAAATTTTAGGGGAACTTTGGTTGTTCCTGATGTTGTTATTGAAAAGGGGGCAGCGCACAATCTGGGGGACAAGGTTAGAAATTTCAATTTTCTGAAATTGTCACTAAATAAAAACTGTTTGAGGGAGCTGAGCACTTCTGGGACTCTTCTAATAAGTTCAGACTCTAAAACTGAACAAGACATTCTGAAGACTTTTCTGGAGGGTCCTGGAACCTCTGAAAAGACTCTGAAACTATTCCCCTCTCCTCCCCACTTCAAACAAAGGACTCTGGATCTGAAATCAATAAATCTGATGAATTGATATTCCTAAAGCACAGGTCTAACAGGTTACTACCTTGCTTAAGAAGCTTCAGTGGCTCCCTATTACCTCTAGGATCAAATGTTTGTTTGATGTCTAAAGCTACCGACAATCTGGCACTAGCCTACTTCCAGGCTAATTACACCTTACTCTTCCTCAGGAACGCTACACTCAGGCCAAATGTGATATCTCCTCTAGAAGATATTCTGTTTCCCACTTCTGGGACCAACTCATGTCTCCCATGCCTGTACTGCTCTCCCTCCTTACCTCTGTCTCTTAGAGCCCAGAGCTCTCTGAGGCTCAACTCAAATACCACTTCCTTCAAGAGGCCTTTTCTGACTCCCCCAGCTGTCCTTCTCTGCCAAATTCATCTTATACTTCTTTTATAAGTATCTTGTATTTAGTATCTATAAACATGTTGTAATGCCTGTATCAGATGCTTATATCCTTGGTGCTTAGCATAATGCCTGTATGGCACACATTAGGTGCTTAATTAGTGCACCTAATGATTGAGAAAGGCAGAACCTCCAAGGGGAGCATTCTCATGGCCTGGCGTTGTGGGGTACATGCTATACTGCTAGTCATGTCCAGTGTTTACTATTACCTCTCTGAGCTCTGTGAGCTCAGATGGGCAAGAAATGGGCAGGGCCCGGAAGAAAGAGAATGGGCAGGGCTGTTCTCCTTTTGGTGTGGGAAATGGTAAAACCATTCAGGTTTCTCATTTTTCCTCTGCGTCTCTGACCTTGAGCTCACCCAAGAACCTATCTCACCCCCACCACCCCACGCCCAGAGGCTCACAGGGAAATGCCCACCACATCCTGCTATGGGCACCTGAGGTTCCTGCAGTAGAGGAGCTGGGGCAGCAGGCTCTTGAGGATGGCATAGTTGAGGCACCTGGTAAGGTTGGTCTCCTGGGCACAGACCTCAGAGACCTGTAAGAGGTAGGCCAGAGCCGAGCAGTGCATGGGGTCCAGCAGCCCAGCCAGGCTCTCACTCTTCAGGGCCTCCTCCACACTCCTGGCCAGCTCTGTGTGCTGCAGTTCATGCAGGCACCGTAGGGTATTCACAGTGCGGGAGGAGATAGAGGCATCAGCCCTGAGGTAGCCCTGCAGGTGAGCTACAGCCTGGGCCCGGTAGCTGCTGTGCTCATCCCGCCCTAGGAACCAGCCGGCCAGCAGGGAGTTGACCTGTGGGGAGAGGAAACCTGAGAGGAAGCGTAAAAACACATCCAACTGCCCGTTGTCCTCCTGGAGTGCCCGCTGCACAGCGTTCCTGAAGTGGGTGAGGAAGCCAAGCTTGGGCCAGGACATGCGGCTCTCTGTGAAGAGGTCAAAGATCGCCCTCTTGGCTGCACTATAGTAATAGGCAGCAGCTGCAAACTCTTGCAAGGTGAGGTGGATGAAGCAGTAGGCAGAGGATGCTGGGGTCTCTTCTTGCAGGAGGAAGTGGCCGCACAAACTGCTCTGTAAAAGGGGGAGGTCAACACCAAAAGCTTTCATGTCCTGTTCATAAAACACATACTTCTTTCTGAGGAGGCCGTGGAAGGCCAATCGGCCCAAGGTGCCCATCATCTTCCTGCCACTGTGGACAGCCTGCTCAATCCTTGGGCTTTCCCTCAGCTTGTCCTGTCCCTCCCCACACAGGGCCATCTTGAAGTACCATGCATAGATCTCAGAGAGTGTCCTTGGAGGAGCCAACTCTGAGGTTTGCCATCCCAATCCATTTCTGACCAGGTAACCCAGCACTGTTCCACACAGCCAGCAGAAGGAAGGGACAGTACACATCAGATACAGGGCCTTGTTGGCCTGGACTTGAGTCAGGATTTGGCCAGGGAGGTCACGACTATCAGGAAACATCTGGTTCAAATAGCTCTGGATCTCCAACTCATTGAATCCCCGGATCTCAGTCATCCGGTCCACCAACCCCCCTGGAATCTGGCCGGCAGCTGTTGGGCGGGATGTCACCCAGACTGAAACCTCTGGAAAGAGGTTCCCACGGATGATGTTAGTTACAAGATTGTCCACTGGGATTTCTTTCTTAGGGTCTGTGCAAGCCACCGCATTGGAAAAATCCAGAGGTACTTTAAATTCATCCAGCCCATCTAGAATCATCAGGACCTGCCCAGAACCTAAGTATGTCAACTCTGTTTCACTGATATGGGGAAAGGCTGAGCGGATAAGTCTCTCTGCAGACAGCTTCTCATAAACGTTGAGTTCCCTGAAATTCAAAGGCAGCACCAAAGAGATGTCCTTACTGATCTCCCGCCGGGCCCACATGGAGACATACAAGGTCACTAGCGTAGTCTTGCCAATACCAGCCACCCCAACAGTCACAGAGATCCGGGGAGGAATAGAGACTTTGGAGAGAGGTAAGAAGAGTCGCTCCAGGGGGATTGTTTTGGACACATGCCTCTGGCCCCGAGTGGCCTCAATCTGGGTGAAGTCATGCTCTTTTAGTTGGAGGTCTGTCAAGCCTTCCACTAACAGTAAGTTGGTCAATCTTTCTGAGGCAGCTTTCTCTGACAAGAGACCTAAGTCCACACTGACTCCATATTTGCTCAGGAGAACCTCCAAGTGCTTCTGCATCCCAGAATCTGCAGATTTAAGACAGGGGATGAGTTTGGGAATGTCTCAGAAAGAGAAGTTATCAATGATTCCCTTTCACTCCAGACAGATATGAAGCCGGAAAAACCTATAAGATAACCCCAGTTCTCTCCCTGTGAGTAGAGAGAGGGAGAAATAAAAAGAACAAATCTGCAGAGAGGTTTACTCAGTGGATCATGTAGGGGAAGAGAGATGAGGAATAGGGAGGGATAAGGAAGGGAGATGAGTGAAAGGAGAATGAAGAAGGGAGCAAGGAGAAGTGGAGAAAATAACGAGTGTTATATCTTCTCCCCATTCTTTTTTCAGGTACTGCCTACCATAGATGGTGCTATGGAGGCTGAGCTGGGCAGTAGAATTCTCAATGAAGTCCTGTCCAGTCGGGGAGCCCCGGCTGCCCTTCCCAGCCAGCAGATCGATGAGCACCTTCACCTTCTGGGTGGGGGAACTGGCCCCCTGAACAAGGCTGAACTCCTCTTCTCTCAGAACTTCCTGCTTTCTCATGGAGCCCAGAATCTCCTCCAGAAGATGTGAGGAGATGACTTGAACCGGCTGCTTATGGTGCCACTGCATCCAGGTACCTGTCCATGGTAGGTAGGGATGGGGGAGAGAGAGAGAGAGAGGCAGAGAGCGAGAGAACGAGAAAGAGAGAGAGAGAGAGAGAGAGAGAGAGAGAGAGAGAGAGAGAGAGATTAGGTGAAGGAACCTGCAGGGATGGACCTTATCTACCTCTCACAGGGCAGTAGGTAGGGTGAGGGAACCTGCACTATCAGGGTTGAAGGAATAACACCAAAATGTCTCAACACTGCCCAGGGTCCAAGTGTCCTAGAGGTAAGCTTAGCCTACTTGTGGGAAGACTGTCCCACATACTGTTCCAAGATAGTAGCTCTGAAGTACAAATAGACAACTTTGTGATAGCTAACTCTCCAATATATGCTAAGTCTTACAAAATCCAAAAGGCTTTGACTCCCATGAGATAAGGGACTAAAACAGCATCAGTGTTTCTGCTGAGACTCTAGAGATTTGAATGACTGGCGAGGCAGTACCAGGGAGCTACCTCCTCCAAAGCAGCCAAAGCAGACTTCATTAGAGAAACTAACTCCAACCCTTTCCCCAAACAGGCAATGCGGTATGCTGAAAAAACACTGGATTGGGAGTCTGAAGACCTGGGTTCAGATTTCGGCTCTGCTGTTTACTCCCTGTGTGACATTGGGCAAATTATTTCACCTCTCGGTGCCTCAGTTTCCTCATTTCCTGTAAAATGAGGGAGTTGAGCTAGCTGCCCTTCAAGGTCCTTTCTAGCTCTAATGATGATGATCCTTAACCATGGCAAAGGTAAAAACACTGTTAGGGACTCCACTCACCTTCCATCAAAGAAAATCCAGGTATTCTGCGGAAAAGATAGTTCTAGGCCTGCAGCAGAAGTAATGATGCCCTTTCCACCCAGGACCCTCTTCAACAGCATCAGGGTCCCAGGGGTTGGGCTTTATCAAGTCTCTGTCCATGGTTCTAGGAAAGAATATGAAGCAATGACAGGAATGTACATGAGCTGATGAAATCCTCAGATCTGCTCCTCAGAGGAAGGAATCAGGATCAGGATTCTAGATTTCAAGCTGGAAGGGGCCTTAGAAACCACTGACTCTTACTCCCTCACTTTACAGATGAGGAAACTGAGGCACAGAGAAATTAAGTGACTTTCCCAGGGTCATATAATCGAGTGTCTGAGGGAGGAGTTCATTTCTCTCTCCACAGCTCACAATAGGAAGAGAAAAGCAGCATTGAAGGAAGCTAATAGGTATGGAAAACTCCCTATTGGGACTCATTCTGGAGAGACTGCCCTAGAAACCTTTCCTCTACCACCAGTTAGATAATGGGTGTCTCACTGAGTGTTGGTCTCAGATGGGTGTCCCTGCCTCATGTCTTCACACTCCAGTCCACACTCCACTCAGCTGCTGAAATGATCCTTCTAAACAGCACGTCGAGATGTCACTCCTTTATTCTACAAACTCCAGTAGCTCCTTATAGCCTCCAGGAACACATATTAAATCCTCTGTTTGGCTTTTGAAGTCCTTTATGTCCTGGCTCCTTTCTACTTTTTCAGTTTTCTTTCTCTTGACCCTTCTCCACATAATCTATGATCCAGTGTCCTGGTTTTCATACCAGTTGCTCTATCGCCCAACTGGGTATTTTCACTGGCAGTTGTCTCCCTAAACCCCCACCCCCATGGCAGAAATATTCTCCCTCATCACTTCCTTGCACTTCCTGGCTTCCTTCAAAATCCAACTCAAATCCCACCTTCTGCAGAACTTGGGAATGCCTTGCCTCTAAAATGACCTCCCCTTTGCACTGTATATATCCCATATCTTCAATTTTTTGCATTTTGTTTTTCCCATTAGAAGCTGAGTTCCTTAAGGCATAGATCATGTTTTTATTATTCTTTGCACCCCCAGTTCTCCCCAGAATGCCTGGCACATTATATATGCATGTAATAAACATTATATAAATATGTTTATATTTATATTACTATATTATATTAAATTTATTATATAAGCACTTAATAAATGCTTGTTGATTGACCACCCTCTGTTTGCAGAGCCCTCAACTGAGCAGGAAGAGACTAACTCACATGTATGTGGCACTTTGCATTTATTATGAGCAACAATAATAATTACCATTTCTATAGCACATTGAGATTTAAAAAGTGCTTTTTTCATAACAACCTATAGGGCAGGGGCAGGGGCAGGACAAGCATCACTATGACCATGATCATGATTATCATCACTACCATTTTACAGATGAAGAAAGTAAGGCTTTTGCTGATGCCTCTCACCTGTTGGTGTCTTCCTTCCCAAGCTACCTTGTATTTAGCTGCTTTGTATATATTTGTCCATATTCACCGTATGCTGTAAATATTTTTATATATCCTCATTGTCTCCTCCCATCAGAATGTAAGTTTCTTGCAAATAGGGGGAGTTTCATTGTTTTTACTTACACACGTCTAGCAGAATGTCTGACCCGAAGTTCATGTTTAATCAGTTTTTGTTGATTGATAATCGAGGCTCAGAAAGAGGTAGTATTGGGGGGGGTGGTGGTACTAGAACTTCAACTCTAACCTTTTGTTTCTAAATCTACATCTCTTTCCACTACCCCTACTTTCAGGGAGCTTACAATCAGTCGGAGAAGATAGGCTAACCACATGAATCTGTAAACATTAGCAATGGCCCCATGGATACATATACCCAATGGTGAACATAAGCACAGCGTCTATTTGGAGAACAGAAATAGCATGGGGGGAGGGGGCAAGCAGGGAATAAGGACGAGTATATGAGTTCCAAAGGCGGGATGGGACTGAGGGCAGTGAGATGTGAAGGGCGGCAGAGGATGCGATTAAGCCTAAAATGTTTCAGAATCCACGGGGCTGCAGAGGAAGGGGACAGAGATAGTTCCCAAAGGAAGGCAGAAGAGTAGATTCATAGACCTAGAGGTGAAGGAGCCTTCGAGGTCATTTAGTACAACCCCCTCATCATGCAGATGAGAAAACCGAGGACTAGAGTGGTTAAGACCCTTCCCAAAGGCCATGCAGCTAGTAAGCAGCAGAGCTATTGTTAGAAGTAAGGTTTTGCTGCTGCATATTCAATGATTTTTTTCACTGTACCATGAGTATGTGATAGTCACCAAAAGAGATACATTGCTAAACTCCAAACTAGATAAGGCCAGTCACTCACATAGACTGGGTTAACACCCCAACCACAGGATGCTACCAAAGAGATACATAAAAGTACTAAGTAAAGGAGGAAGTAGACGTGGGCAGAGTGGGAGGGTGTGGCAGGGAGGGCTGCTAGAAAGAATGGAAGAACTAGAATCAGGTAGCCTTAATTAGGGAAGGCTTCTGAAAGAGGGTCCTGAAAGTCCTGCTCTGATGTCTCATTCACCAAGATTGGTGAATTTGGCTTCTCAAATGCTACATCAACCAACCCCTCACACCAAACTCCACCATACATTCTAAATGGATATGTGATCTTAATACAAAAGATCATATATTTAAAAAATTAGGGGCAGCTAGGTGGCGCAGTGGACACAGCACCGGCCCTGGATTCAGGAGGACTTGAGGTCAAATTTGGCCTCAGACACATAACACTTACAAGCTGGGTGACCCTGGGCAAGTCACTTAACCCCATTGCCTAGCCCAAAAAAAAAAATTAGAAGAGAAACAGATGACGTACCTCTCACAGCTATGGGTAAGAGATGTATTTTTTTTTAAGCATTTAAAAATTTTTTTGAATTCCAAATTCACTCCCTCCCTCTGCCTCTCCCCACTCATTGAGAGAGCAAGCAATATGATACCCATTATACAGGAGATTTTTTTTCAGCATTTTAAAAATTTTGAGTGAGATGTATTCTTAACCAAACAAGAGCTAGATGCAATTACAAAAGATAAAATAAATGACTTTGATTATTTGAAACTGAAAAGCTTCTTTACAGACAACATTAAGGCATCTAGTATAAGAAAGGAAGTGGCTGAATGGGGAAAAAAATCTTTGTATCAAATTACTCTAATAAGGGCTGGTATCCAAGATATATGAACAATGAATACATATATAGAAGATTAATCCTCCAATAGATAAATTAGCCGAAGGATATGAATAAACAGTTCTCAAAAGAACTGCAAAGTACTTACAACTACATGAAAAAATTCTCCAAATCACTAATAAGAGAAATGCAAACCAAAACAATTTTACCCTATACTCTGAGAACTGACAAAAATGATGGCAACAGTCAGTGTTGGAGATGGAGTGGGAAGATAGGCACACTAACACATTGTTGGTGGAGCTATGAAATGGTACAGCTATTTTGAAAGCAATTCAAAATTGTGTAAATAGTGACTAAAATGTCTATACCCTTTGAACCAGAGACTCCATTATTGGGCTTACACCCTAAGGAGCCCTTCAATAATAATAATAATCCCCAGATATTCAAATGCTATGCCAACCAGTGGAGCACAAATTCTGGTAGAGCATACCAATCTGGAGAGCCTTGGTGTATGGGCCCAGTGATGGATTATGTCAATTAGTTAGCATTTATTAAGAACCTACTATGTGCTAGGCATTGTGCTAAGTACTGGGGGGGGATACAAAAAGGCAAAAAAAAAAACACAAAAAAAACCAGTCCCTGATCTCTAGGAGCTCACAATCTAAAGGGGAAATGACATGCAAACAACTTTGTGCAAACAAGACAAATACAGGATAAATTGGAGGTAATCTTAGGAGTTGTCTTAAAAAAAAAAAACAAAAAAACAAGATTAAGGAGAATCGAGAAAGGCTTCTTACAAAAGGTGAGACTTCTGCCAGGACCTGACAGAAGCTGGGGAAGCCAAGAAAAAAGATGAGGAGGGAGAATATTCTAGGCATGGAGGACAGCCAGTAAAAATGCTCAGAGACAAGAGATAGAGTGTTGTTCTCAACGAAAAGCAAGGGGACCAGTGTCGCTGAGCATATGGAGGGGAGTGAGGTATAATAAGATTGGAAAGGTAAAAAGGTTATGAAGGGCTTTAAAAGCCAAACAGAATTTTATATTTGATCTTGTGGGTGACAAGGATCCACTAGAGTTTTTTAAATGATGTGTGGAGGGGGAGGGGTTGATAAGGTTTGATCATTGTTTTGGGAAGATCAATTTGATAGCTGCTAGGTATCAAAAAGGTTCATCATCAAAAGGAAAATTACAGATGATAACTTTTTTGGTCACCAAAACTCATGAAGAAATATTTTCTAGTTCCCAAATGAGAAACCATCAAAGGATATGAATAGGCAGTTTCCAAAGGAAGAAATCCAATAACCCTATGAAAAGATACTCCAAATCACTAATAATTAGAGAAATGCACATCAACACAATTCCAGAGTACTCAACAAAACATATTACTCACTTCCATATAGTGAGGTGATGGACACAGCACAGATTGAGGCATTTTTTTTTTTTTTGGACATGACTAATGAGGAAACTTCTTGTTCTTGACTGTACATTTTTGTAACAGATTTTGTTTTTCTTGCTTTCTCAATGGATGGGAGTGGGAGAGGGCAATGTGAGGGACAGAATTTAGAACTAAAAATAAAAGAAAATTGAATTTAAAAAATAGTATATTCAGAGTTGCCAACAAATAAGTTGGCTCAGTAAGGGGGCAGTATGGAATAAGTAGAAAGGTATAGATTTTGAAGCAGGAGAGACATGGATTTAAATCCAGCTTCTAAAATTTTTAAGCTGTGTTATCATGGTCAAGCCACTTAGTCTGAGCCTTGGTTTCCTTATTCATAACATGAGATGATACCTGTGGTATCAACCTCACAGAGTTACTATGAGGTTCAAATGAGCTAAGGTAGGCAGTGCTTAAAAGTAGTATATTGATGCCACCCATTATTACAATGACTGGCTAGTTATTGTATACATTTGATTGAGGCAGGACACATGATGATGTAAGCTGGAAGAAGCTACTGAGTTTGGTAGTGGGAGGAGATACATGACATCCTGAAGGGGAACTGAGGTAGGGGATTTATACAGATCAAAAGCGGTTATTAAAGGCCAGAGTGTGGGTGGAGCTGACAACAGAAGTCTAGCATTGCGCCCCAACACCAGGAAGCTAGACAAGAATCTCTGTTTATCCACCAGGATTTCTTGGTAGCAAAAAGACCCCAAACTACAAACCCCACCATGCTTAGCAAGGAACTAGTTCCCCCATGAAGTCCTCAGCATAGACTGAAGAGTCAGTCTGAAAAGCTGTTACATCCTCAATCCACCTGACCGTGTTAGCAAGGGTATATACTGAATGTGGGGAGATGTGACAGCATGAGTAAGAGGGATTTATTAAGCCCTTAAAGAAGAAGAGGAGGGAAAGGCAAGGGACCATGGGTATCCCAGCAAGGAGGAGGAAACAGCCAGGGTGACTTTTTTTCCAGCTTCAGTCATCCAAACACTGCTCTAATCCTAGCTTCCAACTTCAAGGACAACTCATATTTTTTATTATAACCAGCCTCCATTTCTCTAAGCCTATCAACTGACACTACACCCTCCTTCCTCCTTCCCCTGCAGCCTTTTTTTTTTTTTTTAAACGGAGTACCAATAGTAAGTGAATGCCTTCTTCTGCTTGGTCAGATAGGTAGAGGAGGAAATCCTGAGGGTGCAAAATGACTGTGGTTTCTCAGAAAGATCAAATGGGTCAGGTTGGCCCCAAGGTTTCTCTAGACAACAAGGTGAGGAAGGGAATGTGTTTTAGCACTCACTGCCTGCTGAGAGAAAGCACTTAATGAATGCTTATAGAATTGAATTGATTTGAACTGAATGAAATGGGGAGTTGGGGAGAAGGATCTGAAAGCTTTTTTTTTAACCTTTAAAAAGATGTTTTATTATTCCCCAATGTTATAAATCACATATCTAGTCTGACCCTCTCATTTTACAGAGAAGGAAACTGAAATCCAAAGTAGTCAAACAACTTACCCAAGGTCATGTAGTCTACTAGAAATAAAATTGGAGCTATAGAGTGCTGTAGGTGCTTTGGTCCCAGTTTAGCTAAAAAGAGAAGGAAAAATAGAGCCCAGTGAGGGGAAAACCAACTTATAAGATAGACTAGGAACAGAAAGATCAGCAGTCTACATCTCCCCCATTAAATAAGACTAAAATGCTCCTCGAAGGCATGTTCTTGCCTTTCTTTGTATGCCTAATGCTTAGGGCAGTGCCTGGCACATAGGGAATATTTAATAAATGCTTATTGATTGGTTGACTGGTTTGGGGAAACTTTGGGGAACTTCTTTGAAAATGAAGGGACTTCCACATGGCAGAGGCTGTGATTTATTTAAGAGGAAAGGTGGGGTTATCACCTTGCCTGCTCTCCCAAACACCAGCTTATGGGGCAGCTAAGTGGCACAGTGAATAGAATACCAGCCCTGAAGTCAGAAGGACATGAGTTCAAATCTGCCCCAGACCAAACACTTGACACTTACTAGCTATGTGACCCTGGGCAAGTCACTTTACCCCAATTGCCTTAAAAAAAAAACTTCAGCTTACCAGGACACCTGGCTATTGTCATGCCAGTAGGAGATTGAGGCTTATAAAGCCAATGTGGGCTATGAACTCATACAACTCTCTGAAAAAGCAGGTAACTATACCATGTCCAAAATGAGCACACAAAAGAGGAGGAAACCACCCAGGAAAAAGGGGATAAAGGTGAGTGGAAAACTGTTAGGAAATATTCCTTAATTAGACCACCAATATCCTCTGCTCCAACATTACTAAACTCTACTTGATTCGATGGAGTAAGCTATCATCAAAGGTATTTCTGCAAATGTGCAAGTTCTGTGGAAAGGTTCAACCCGTGCTGGTCCATTGAACTGCTTTTTCAGGAGGAAGGGGTTTAATGAGAAGATAGGGGAAGGAAAGACCTGTTCTGAAGCCTCTTTTTCAAGTGCCAAGGCTTTAATCATTGTCATAGATTAAACTTGGAAAGAACCTCAGATATCATCTAATCCAACCACCCACCCTCTCATTTTATAGATGGGAAAATTGACTTGTTCATGGTCACAGAACTTGAGAGAGTCAGAGCCTTGTTCAGTGGTCTTAGTACTACAACATGCTCCAGTCTCCCCAGATTGAATGATTTATGAAAAGTAAGACTGGTCAAAGAGCCCACAAAACATAGTGGAGAGGAAAAGAGACCTAGACTAGAACTCTTGAGTCGGTCTTGATGGGGTAGGGTGCAAAGTTACTGAAAGGGATCCACAGATCAACTGTGAAAGACTTAGCTACTCTGATCAAGACAATTCCAAAGGACTCATGATGAAAAATGCTATCCACCTCTAGAGAGAGAAATGATGAACTTGGAATGCAAATTGAAGTATACTTTTAAAAAATTTCTTTGTTTTTATTGTTTTATTTTGTTTGTGTTATCTTTTGTAACATGGCTAACATGGAAATGTTTTACATGACCCTCACATATATAATCAAAATCAAATTGCTTGCCTTCTCAAGAAGGGAGGAGGAGTAAGAGGGAGGGAGAGAATTTGGAACTCAAAATTTTTAAAAATTATTGTTAAAAATTTTTTTACATAATTGGGAAATATTTAGTGAAAAAACAAAAATATTTTAATAAAGAAAGGAATCACATGTACACCAACCATTGTTATTTTGTTCTTTAGTTCTAACAAAATATGTAGTATTGATCAGGAGAAAAAAACAAGCAAGTAAGTATTAACTGCTATAGACCAAATAATATGTCTCACATACCTGGGAGTTATTTTCAAAATTATGCAGATGCCATTAATTAGGAAACTCCATTAAGAAGTACTATTGGTGGGACAACTGGGTGGCATAGTGGATAAAATACTGACCCTGGAGTCAGACTTGAGTTTAAATCTGGTCTCAGACACTTGACACTTACTAGCTGTGTGACTCTGGACAAGTCACTTAACCCTAATTGCCGCATAAACAAAAAAACCCAACAACAATCAAAGAAGTATTATTGGTTTCATAATAAATTTTGATCATTAGTTGTTTTTCTTTTTTTCTCAAAGGATACCAATAGTAGAACTACTTTCATGTACAAAAGTACACCTATGACAAAGGTAAGACCCTAAGGGTAGGGATCATGTTTCTTTTTTGCCTTTGTAACCCTGGCACAAAGCACAATGTTTTTTGGGCAGTAAGTCAATAAATGTTTGCTTAATGGAATTGAATTGGAGGTCGGGAGAGGAGAGGGAAAAATTTTACCTCATAAACTGAAAAAACTGAAGACTTCCAATCTAGCTCAACCACCTGAGATAGACTGAAAAAGTGATGGATTTGTATTCAGAGGACGGGATTTGAATCCTGGCTCCGATACTCCCTTGGTGAATCTATCCCGGCTTCATTTTCCTCAGATGCAAAATGAAAGTATTCTTCCTCATTAGATTGTAAACTCCTTGAGGGCAATGACTTTTTTTGCCACTTTTTGTATTCCCCAGGGCTCAGCACAATGCCTGGCATATGTTATTGAGTCATTTCAATCGTGTCTGACTCTGTGACCCTACTTGGGGTTTTCTTGGCAGAGATACTGGAGTGGTTTGCCATTTCCTTCTCCAGCTCATTTGACAGATGAGGAACTGAGGCAAACAGAGTTAAGTGACTTGCCCAGGGTCACACAGTTAGTAAGCATCTAAGGTCGAATCTGAACTCAAGTCTTCCTGACTCCAGGGCCAGAACTCTATCTATTGCAACACCGAGCTGCCTATGCCTGGCATATAGTAGGTCCTTAACACATGTTTATTGATCGATTGACTAGATGACATCTAAAGTCCCTCCCAGCTTTAAACCTTTAGGTTCAGAAGGATTTTATAATTCCTCACTTTGCAGAGAAAGGAACTGAAGACTCCTTAACCCAACAGGGTTGAATAACTTAAGGTCATTGAGTCAAATAGAAATAGTTTGGATGACTATTAAATATGCAAGGTTTCCTGGATCCCCCTGCACTGCTCTTCACAGTACAGTAGGGAAAGTTCTGGATTTGGAGTTAGAAGATCTAAGTTCAAATTGCTCTCTGGGCCTCAGTTTCTTCATCTGTAAAATAAGAGAGTTGGGCCTCTGAGATCCCTTCCTATTCTTTGACTCTGATCCTTTGATTTCCATATTACCAGGTAATTTCTGTTTGTTCTCATGCCTGCTAACCCACACTCAGTCCCCTTGCTTGTATTAATTTCCTCCCTGTGCTCCCCTACAGCAGCTGCTGCTCTTTTCTCAGCCCAGCCCCAAGACTGACCACACTGTAGACCTGGGGGGAGACTGACTCAACAGGAACTGAAAACCTCAACCAGGCAGCTCTCGAGTTGCACCTGTGTGCAGGGAGGTTCAGCTCAGGGTTGTCTCCATCCCTACACATCCCCCCAGTCTTCAGTCAATTTCCCCTTGACAACTTATACCAGGAAATTTGGGGTTAACTCCTCCTCTACCCTTAAAACAAGCTCAGCTACATCTTGATGGTTACAGATAAGGGGCAGGGGCAGGAAAGAGAATCTCATTGTTGGAAAGGACTTCAGATCCATCTAATCCAATCCTTACCTGATAAAGAATACTCACAACAGGGGCAGCTAGATGACACAGTGGATAGAGCACCAGCCCTGGAGTAAGGAGGACCTGAGTTCAAATCCAACCTCAGACACTCACTAGCTGTGTGACCCTGGGCAAGTCACTTAACCCCAATTGTGTCACCAAAAAAAAAAAAAAAAGGAATACCCACGACACACTTGACAATTAATCTCTGCTTGAAGACCTCCAACAAGAGAGTGAACATACTGTGTCCCCACGTAGTTCTCTCCACTTTTGGTTGCTCTTTGTTAGAAAGTAGGAAAAAGAAGGAAACAAACAGGAAATAAACATTTATTAAATCCCTAGTATGTGGTAGACAGTGTGCTAAGTACTTTATAAATATTATCTCATTTGGTCCTCTCAAAAACCCTGGGAGGAATATCGAGAGAACTAATGAAAAGAAATGCAGGGGAAGGTGGCCTAGCCATTCCAGATCTTAAATTGCATTATAGAGAAGCAATCATCAAAACTGCTTGGTACTGGCTAAGAAACAGAGCGGTGGATCAGTGGAGTAGGTTAAGTGTGCAAGACACAGTAGTCAATGACTATAGTAATGTGTTATTTGATAAACCCAAAGACCTCAGCTTCTGGGATAAGAACCCACTCTTTGAAAAAAACAGCTGGGAAAACTGGAAAAGAGTATGGCAGAAACTAGGCATAGACCAAAATCTCACACCACATACCAAATAAAGTCAAAATGGGCTCATGATTTGGATATAAAGGCTGATACTATAAGCAAACTGGGAGAGCAAGGAACAGTTCACCTGTCAGATCTATGGAGAACAGAAGAATTCATGACCAAACAGGAGATAGAGAACATTATGAAAAGCAAAATAGATAATTTTGATTACATTAAATTGAAAAGTTTTTGCACAAAGAAAGCCAATGCAACTAAGATTAGAAGGAAGGTAGAAAATTGGGAAAGAATTTTTACAACCAGTCTCTCTGATAAGGGTCTCATTTCTAAAATATATAGAGAATTAAGTCAAATTTATAAGAATACAAGTCATTCCCCAATTGATAAGTGGTCAAAGGATATGAACAGACAGTTCTCAGATGAAGAAATTAAAGCCATCTATAGTCATATGAAAAAATGCTTTAAATCACTATTGATTAGAGAAATGCAAATCAAAACAACTCTGAGGTACCACATCACACCTATCAGAATGGCCAACATGACAAAACAGGAAAATGATAAATGTTGGAGAGGATGTGGTAAAATTGGAACACTAATGCATTGTTGGTGGAGTTGTGAAATGATCCAACCATTTTGGAGAGCAATTTGGAACTATGCCCAAAGGGCTATAAAAATGGGCATACCCTTTGACCCAGCAATAGCACTTCTAGGGCTATATCCCAAAGAGATCACACAAATGGAAAAAGGACCTACGTGTACAAAAATATTCATAGTAGCTCTTTTTGTGGTGGCAAAAAATTGGAAATTGAGAGGATGCCCA